ATCCATCCATCCATCCATCCATCCATCCATCCATCCATCCATCTATAACGTTGTCGACCATCAGTGGAGGATGAACCCTGATTGGGCCTCCTTGCTGGTTCAGATGAACCACATCTCATGCATGTTTCCTATAGAGTGTGTTATTCTACAGAGAGCGTGACTAAATACTGGTGTGTACACATCTGAGCAGGCCTCGTGATCTCAGACTATGTTATGAATGTATTGTAGCTGAAATGAGGAAAAAAGCGCATGAGAAGCGGGTTTATCTTGAAGACCACTTGTGTTTAGAGAATGTTATTGGCAGCTGCAGACATGCTGGCTGACGAGTGTAAGGCCCTCTGATTAGAGTGTAAATAAACAAAATAATACATCAGAAATCCTGGATGGGTTATTCATGGATCTGTTGGTGTGGTTCAGATGTTACTGGCAGCTCTAATCCACTCTGCTTAGAGTTTGTAAACTGTGGATTATCTATTGAAACGCTTGTATGAGACCTTTTTTTCTGTACATCACACCAACCCTCAGCCCTCGAAGTCAACATTTGTGTTTGTTTGCAGTTTGGCTCCTTCAAAGAGATCTTTCCATATTTTTTTTCTCAAATCAAAGACTCCATTTGGCCCAAGATCCCAGAAAGTTTTCACTACCCAGAGCTGCACAGTCCTACCAAGCTCCTGGAAAGGATGAAGCTGGTCCGGCCATAGCCAGTGGAGATGCTTCCATTCCAACAATACAGTTCTGACGTTAGCGTCCTCTAACAGTCTGGGCCAAATGAGAAAAGCTAAGCAAGAGGAAAAAGCGTGAGGAAGAATTAGACGTTTATTAAAGTGTACACTCAAGTTAAGTGTTGACATTCATATCAAATGTGATTTCAGCAGACAGCAGGACATTCCTGTACAGACAACCTGCAGTCTAGCTATGAAAAGCCTGTTTTCACCCTGAAATATAAGACTGTGATGTTAGTAGGACAGGCTTCCAGTTTGAAGGAAAGTCCACCTAAGGAGGTGGAAGTGGAGGATGGAGGCCTTGGTCTGGAGCAGGACCCCCGACCAGGAGGAGCAGGGTTCTTAGACTGTAAGACTATTCAAAGATGTGGATCTGGTCTTTGCTAGCTGGCTTTAAGCATCAAAACTACATGGTTAGGTTTAGAAAACATCCTGCTTTTGGGTAAAATCTGACCTTTCACAGCTGGTTTGAGGCTTGTCTTCAGTTTTCTGGGTTACCAAGGTGACAGGCCGCTCATCATGTGATATCTGATTGGCTGAAAAAGAGCAACAGTGAAGCAACAGAATGGTGAAGTCGATGTGATGACAGGTTCCTGGTCTGCAGGTACAAACTGAAAGTGGATTCTGTGTGTGATTCTCAATGTGACTGTCTGAAGGTGTCGACACACACTGAGGTGCTTCTAACCGTAACGCTGCTGAGCTCTTTGAAAACAAGACTTTTCTAGTTAATAAGTGTAATTTGATTACTTTGCAGGAACCTTAGGGACTTGTTGTTGACTGGAGCTCGATGTCAGTGAACAAAGTGTGTTTCGCAGATAGAAATCTTGCTCCACCTATTTATAGAAAAGCACCAAAGGGTTGCGACTCGGACCGAACAATGTTGTTGTAGTGTGTGCTGCTTCAAAGGAAACTTTAATCTTCAGTAGGTTTGTTTCTGTCCACCAGTATCACTCAGGGTGGATCCAATATGGACTAATCACCTCGCTCTTTGATGTTGAATAATTCCGTGTGCATCTGAATGTCATGTGCATGTGTTTATGGATGAGCGTCTCACATGTTGCGACCTTTGTCCATCTCCTCTGAGCAGCTGTCTTACATTATGCATGTGTGTGTGTGTGTGTGTGTTTGGTTAATGGTTGTTTAAATAGATATGGAAGTCACATCAGCCCTCTCATCTCCTTTGCTCTGAGAAAACACACATACACAAAGAGCAGCGGCGTGTATAGGGAATCATTAGCTAAAGTGATGCAAGTTTAGCTATCATGAATCACAGTGGCATCATATCGACAAGCCAGAGCCAGCCAGGAATCCAGAGTGTGTGTGTGTGTGTGTGTGTGTGTGTGTGTGTGAGGATTAGCGGTGTTTTGAGCTGGCAGCCGGCCCAGCCTTCCTCCCTCCGTCCTCATTTTTCTCTGTCCTCCTCTCTGCCACCAGGGTTTTCCCCCCGCTGATATTCCCCGGAGGAAGCTTCATTTGCTCTGTCCCTGTCCACATCCTTGCTGCCCGTTTTCTCCCCATCTCGCCCACCATCAGTGTCCTCCCTGTTTTAGGTGGCGCTCACTGACAAACCCATTACCTCCTCTCTTCTGTTTTACAAACAGCCATCGTCACAAGTGGAGGAGGGGGGCAGGAGGCTGAACTTGATCCAGCTTCAGCAGTCGGCGTGCCATTAGCTCTGGCTGGGTGTGTGCAGCACACCTTGGCCAGGTAGGCTGCTGACTGCAGGGTTGTTGTTCGCTGCTTGTAGACAATGTGTCCTGTGTAAAGCTCCACATCATGTCTGCTCTCCGTCCGACTCTCCCTGAATACTTCTACCTTTGCTCTGTCTTCTCATCCATCGGCCTCCTCTTCATCATCCTTTGTGCTGGATCCCTCCCTCCCTCAGTAATATCCCTCACAGTGTACTTGTGATGATGGATGAAGAAGTAGTAACAGTGGAGCAGACTTCGCATCCATCACACACTCACCAACAGCATAGTTAACTGTTTTTTCTGCTCTTGGCTTTGCTCAGCAGAGAGCAGCTGTGTCACAGTCTTTCTTCTCCCCGTGTCTTCAATCAGAGCAATGCATGGTGGGAAAAACAGCTCCTTGATTGCCTGATCAGACGGCTGAAAACTGGCCCTATACTGTATACGTGCTGCTCAGTCTTTCTGGTTTAACTCGTTCACATCTTCTGTTCTGTGTGTTTCTCTGCTGCCCACAGCTCCATCAGCGCCTGTGGAACTCGGTCCTACGCTCGGCCTCAAGAAGTCCAGTTCGCTGGAGAGCCTTCAGACGGCCATGTCAGAAGTCAACAGAAAAAACGAGCTCCTGCCGTTCCACCGTCCTCGTCCCAATATGGTCAGGGGCAGAGGCTGCAACGAGAGCTTCCGAGCAGCTATTGATAAGTCCTACGATGGACCGGCTGAAGATGACGATGGTGAGAGAGATGAAGGGAGTGTAGTGTGTTAATGTGGTTTCTAATTGTGTTTAGGATTTTATGCAGCACATCTCATCCAAGCTTTGAACCTGCTGTGCTGATGATTTACAAACTCGTGGCCTCCTCCTGGAGTCAGGCTTTGGACGTTATCTGGTGCTGCTCCATCGTGCTTTCAGTCGATCCCACGGTGTGAACACTCAGCTGAAGCTTGACATTAACACTTTTAAAGTTGTACTGCAAATCAAATGGCACCACCTGTCAGAAAAATAGCATTTAGATATTTTCCCCAAAATGCTCTGTGAAGAGAAAGAACATGTCTTCTTATTATTGTATGTAACAGACATGATAAGTCAAGCACTGACTCACACTGAAACCTTCAAGGCTGACCTCGGACCAAAGATTTTCCTGGTTGACCAGTCGGTGTTAATTCAACCTACTAGTTCACTAGTAGCTGCACATCTGTGGTATTCATTCAGTAAACATCTGAGGGCCTCAGACAACCATTTCCAGAATGAGAGGATGTCAGAAGCAGGCTAGCATGCTGACATCGTGCAACAATCCCAAGAAAACCCATAATGCTGTCAATAATAAGTCTGAAAAATAAAAATATGACAAGTGCACACACGTAGCGTAGCGATAGGCTAATGGTTGTAGATGTGTGGGACAGACCAGCCAGGAGGTCATACAGTGGCTTCAGGCTGACGAGTCGTCTTTGGTACGATGTCACAGAGACTGTAACACCTTGATGCTGCTGCTGGCTGATCCCCGTCGGAGAGACTCTCCTGCTGCCTTGGAACACGTATACGTATAGAATCCAGCCTTTCAGCCTCTCGTCTCTCCATACGCCTGCCATTCAGGCTGCACATGTGCTGTGTGTGTTTGGCCGATGAGCCCCACCTATGAAACCCTGATGTCTGCACATCACCTTCTCAGGTCGTCCTTTACCCCCCAAACGATTCCACACTTCGGATGTCCTGCCCGTCGTATGTGATTACCGTCCACTTAGTGACGGGACCAGCTGTGTAAAAGATTACGTCTGTCTGAGACCGACTGAGCGTTCTCCGTTCTCTCTCATCTCATCGACGAGCTTTTGGTGGACTACGAGGAGCCTGTGAGCTTCAGGAACTTTCACGTATGTTTCACTTTTGGTTGATGTCACAGCAGCTGTTTTGTTCTGCTTTAGAGTTAATGCAGAAAACTGCTCCGCCATCACTGATTGAGGAGTGTTCACTGGTTTCCCTCCATCTACTTCCCATATGTTGCCACTCTGAAAAAGACAGAGTTTTATTTGTCAGTCTCATGTCTAATCCCCACATAAAGCTCCAGCTTCTTTAGATGGATTTTTTAACCCGATGACTGATGCGTAGTCGAGTTGCTTCCACGTGCAAGGTGCTCCCTAATTACACTCTCTCCAGCAAAGTGAGACAAGAGCTTCACAACAAGCACCTCATGCCTCAAAACATCAGCACATATTCAATTCCCTGCTGTGTTATTAGCAGCAGAGTCTTATCAGTCACCACCAGAGTAATGAGTCGGCCTGTTTCAGATCACTACTCTCACCTCTCACACAGGACAGGACTAATAGGCCATGTCAACACACACACACACACACACACACACACACACACACACACACAGTGGCCACGTCTGTCACCAGCATCCCAAATGCTCAACACTTTCAGAGCTGCTGTTAATTGACACAGAACAGTTGTCAGAAGTGCGCCACATATTTATCTCTCCTCCTCCTCCTGCCGTGTGTCTCCAGCGCTCTGTCGCTTGGCCTTAAATCACCGCCGTGTCACATGTAAATGCTTATCAGCTGCACTTGTTCAGAAGTGGATTAGCAGCTTCACTTACAGACCACTCGCTCGTCGAGAAGGGAAACGCTGACAATATTTTGACAGTCCAAAGGCACGTGTAATTTATTCCAGAGTTCATGTGCAGCTGATGAATTGTGTGGGATCGTGATTTGAATCCAGCTAATACCACAGTGCCATAGCGCTTCACAGCTTCCAGTAAATTCAGTTGTCATGATGGCTGTTGAGCAGAGTCCTGGAGTCGCTCGCTTTGAGGTCTCCTGCCATGTGGGATGGATTACAGTCAACAGTTGTTCCTCCACTTGTCCGGTTCTTCACTTCTGTTTCCTTGGTGTCTTGTTATTCAGTCTTTCTGGTAGAGGATCTATCCCAGTGACTGGACAGTGATCAGT